CGTGAGAGTGTTACGCGGCTAAGAAATTAAGAGATAAAATATAACAAAAGCAGTTGAGAGTGAATGAAGAGAACGGGCGAAATAGTCTCGGAAGAAAGGAAGCAGTATGTCTGTTTCATAGGTAGAAAGATACGGATAATGGCGACCTAGTGAGAAACGTTGCAGGAAAATAAAGAAACCGACCGTTTCCCCGCCTCTACTTTTAGATTCACGAACATGGTCTGGTTATCGATCGGTCCAGGTATTTCAGTTTATACGACTTTAGAGGAAAGCAATCGTTCTTTACGTTAAATAGAAATTAAGGTAAAACCACCAACAGTTGACCAGTTAAGAAAAATGTTCTGCGTGAAAAATAGTATCCGCTCGCTTCTTCATTAAATAGAGAGTCTCTATGCGTGAAAATGCTGTTTGAATTTCTCACATTACGTAACAAAGTGAACCTTTTTGAAACAGTTATATTATCCAAATTTGACAGATATTTTTGAAAATTCAATACTCGCGATAAAAGTTGACCATCCTTTAAAACGAGATAACTAGTGTTTGACCATATGTTAGTTAGCAGTTGGCCACTTATAGTAATACCGTAAACACTAAAGGTGATTTCGTTAATATCGTTTATTTGTAGCGATTATGCGAAATTACAAGCAAAAGGACAAATACAAATGAAAAGAAGTTAATTCCATGTTGAAAATCGGAGGCATACAACCAACGTCAATGATATTCCATTGGTTGTTAGTTTTTACGATAAACAATTTCATTCAGGTAAAAGCGTTTTGGAGTTGGCTTGGTAGATATTGCAATATATGTATCGTGTCTTCATCGAAAGATTATTACTAAAGCCTTATTTTTTACGTTTTCCTGAAAAATGGTCAACTACTGATACTAGGTCAATTACTGGTACCCTTACCTTATTTCTAAAAAACATTCATCGCTTTTCGGCTTGTGCTGTCCGTCTTCGGATCAACCCCCTGCCATATGATTTATTTTTTAACTATGATCGATACAACTACTTTATTATTAATACTTTATTAGGAAAAGAACAAATCTCGATGCTTATTCTATGTCTATGTTTATTCCAAAGGTTAACGATTGGAACTAGAAAAGTAATATTTAACTTATATTTAACAAAAATAAATAATAGTTAGATTTCAAAAATTCAGTTTAAAATCTTTATCACGAGTTTGATATGAGTCAATGGTTTAAGCAGCAATATCTCTTTGATTTAGGGGAAAAAATACATATTCAGAGAGGAAAGGGTTGAATCAGCATAATTTCAACCGCTTGACCTACAATGTCAGACGCGTGAAGAAAATGTTAAACTGAATTTGAGAAATCTAAGCGTTACTTATTTGTTTTAAATATAAATTAAATGTTAAACTTTGGAGTGAACGTAGCCATAGAACAAACATCAACACTTTTTCTTTTCCTAATAAATTATTAACGATAAAGTAGTTGTATTGATCACCGTTAACACATTCGCGACCAAGAATGAGATTTCTCGTTTTAGGTGATGTGCAGGATTTCTTGATTATTTTCCAGATAATAGTATTCTTTGTACTTTCGAACATTATCAATCCTTTTACTGGGAATATTTTCAGTAATTTTATTTTTAGGGATACTTATATATAAACAAAAGAAGGATCATTCAAATATATATTAATTTCAATCAACTATCGCAGTTTTATTACACACCTTCCAAAATAATTGTATATGACTAAAATCATCGGTCTCATAGAAAATTTTAGCAAAACATCAGCGGTCGGAAATGTGTTCAAAAATAAATCATAGGGCAAGGAGTTAATAAGTTATCGATTGTTAACACTAAACGTATCGGCACTTTATATACATCTGTTTCTACTGTAACCGGGCAAATAATTGATTATGAAATAAAGGTAAACAAATTAAACGATAAATTTTATTTAGTGACGACATAAACAAAGGAGAAATTAAAAAAGTGATTAATCGGACAGTGTAGGAAGTGATGTAAAGTTAAATGAAAGAAAGGAAATGAAGGATTTTACATCAAGTTTTAAAATCGGTCATTTTACCGGTCACGGTACGTTTAGTATTAAGCGTTCGAAATCGAAAATCCGATTAAGTCTTGCGGTAAATAAAATGTCAAGAGTTTCAACCCTAAGCACTCGTATGTCACGTTAGAGATGACAATACAAATTTGTTATAAAACGTTGGAAATTACTTTAAAAAGTACCACATACTAAAAAATTATAAAAATTAACTTTCATTTTAATAACAATAAATAAAATAAATATAAAACATGGAATTCTACTGTTGTACATTATTTTCTTTCATTTCCCTAAAAATAAATACAAGTTTCCAAGAACGTTGTAAATAAATCGAGTGCAAAGGGTTAATATATGGTTATCGTAGATTATGTTGCAGCATTTCCTTTTTCTTCATTCGAAAATCAATTTTATCCAGCTAAAATGGCCATTCGTTAGACTTTGCAGAGTTGATAAACACTGCTCTATCAGTTTCGAATTTTCAGCCTTCATTACAATCCTTTGAAATCGAAAGTGTACCTACCTTCCACTGGAAGTCGGAAGAGGGATCAGTGAAAAACCACTTCTGCGGCCAAGGTTTTATCGTCCCATCCGGTGTCTTGAAGATTAACCCCTCCAGACTTAGGCCGTGCGCCAGGACGCTCGTGGTGATGTTGCCCTTTTTATACGAGGCTATGCCCGCCTTCATGTACATCTGCGGTATTGTTTCGTTCTCCCTGAGCTTCAGCGTCACCCTCGGCATCTTCGACTTCCTCGACGCACTTGAAATCGTCGTGGTAGCTTCGTCCAAATTACTCGGCAATGATTTCAGGGTAGCCGAAGAAGGCACCGGTGACGAAGTCGAGGGAAGCTTGGTAGATGTTGATGTTTGCTGAAGGCTGGTTGGTGACTCGGAAGAAACGTGTGATCGTTGTGTACTGCTTAACGTAGAGTCTGAATAAAAGGAGGAAATCTGATGTTATTGTTAGAAGTTGACGACGATAATCAACGACGAATTTTTGGAATAATAACAAGATTAGTGCGACAAGATGTCACGTGTTTAACATCAGATTTACGGACGTTTATTGTACAGTGTATTCTAGTGTTCCTAGAAAAATGCATATTCGTTTATTCGGATTTTGGAAGTTAAAGATTTAAAAATAGATAATTTACGTATATACTGGTATAATTGCATAAATCAAAGTAGACGTAAACATTTACCAAATAGTGTTTATAAAATTAAATATGCGTCAAATCGTCGCGTTCCGTGTACCTAGTGTTAATCATTTTGCTGTTTCTGTTTATACGACGAAAGAAGATAGTGAATTTATAATTTGATATTAAAACTATGAGCGTTTAATACGATTAAACCTTTTAGCGTCAGAGATTTGTTCCATAGATTTGCGAGAAAGCCAGCGGTTTTTATAAGTTTTTGTAGTGGCCCGGGAATGCTTTGTATCAAGGTTAATTTTGGAATATTAACTTAGAAGTTTTTACGTAGTCTTTGTAACGTATCAGATTAAATTTAATTAGCATAAAATAAAATATAGTGTTTCAAATCCTGCAGAAATGGATATATTATTCTGAAAGAATATTTATAAACAAAATGAAAACAGTATTTCTCACACAGTAATTAATAACGCATTAACATAATAATAATTGTACACTATTAAACCTAATTCGAATATCTTGTTTTTATACACTGACATTTCATGTGATGATCGCTTACCTCTTACGTTATTACATTTTCTTTTAAAAGAAAGAAATGATTGATGTGTACCACAAATAGGACCCTTAACTCTGGAAATTATTAGACCCGCCCGATTGGAGAAGTTAAATGGATTACTTTCAATAAGAGCAACTCTATTCCTATCGATAAATGTTATTTGCTCCAGAAACGGAGATGTCAATTTGAAATAACCATCACGTAATGGTATATTTTTCTCTTATAGAAGTAAAAACAGAACCTGTTACATTATTTAATATTAAAGGGAAGATATTCTGAAATTACTTGCCATAAACGGTCATATTATAAATGGAATATACGTAATAATAAATTCTTTCATTTTAAATCCTGCAGCTCAATCTGCAACCGTGTCTGATTTGATATAGGTTTAAAATGGTTGCAGAAATCTAATTTTGTACAATTGTCCCACTTTTCTATGTAGTATAATATAATATATAATAGAATTTGCACTTTATCTTATTAGCATTGAACGAGCCAATTTCGATTCAAATGGAACTTTGATACGTGAAGCAGAAAAAAATTAATACACAAGGAAATGAAATTAATTTTCAAATATACGATTTCAGTGTATTCATTCGGAAATGATTATAGATACAAAAGCTATTCTAAACATTACTAAACGGTTTTTGCTGTAGTAAAATTAGCCATATGCCGACGCATATGGCTTCCTTTGCGATAAGTACAAAATTCCATTTTTTATCTTGACCGTTTGTGATATTGAGATGAAAACAAATTGTAAATTAAATTTATACTGCCATATATTGTAGTATAAATATATTACTGTTTAAGTGTATTTAATAATACGTTTAATTAATGTTATTACTGTTTATACTAATAGTTCTTATTTTTTATGCTAATATTTAACTATAATTACCCTATATATATTTCGGCAACAGAATAAACAATTTTTCAGCAGAATTTTGAATTATTATACAGTAAAGGGGCAATGTTCTAAAAACCGAAGGAATGAAAATTAACTACAGCTCACAGATTGTAGGTTGATACATGGGAAAACCAATTTTACTTATTCGTATTATAGGAAATATAGACATTTAGGAAGATGTAGAAAGATTTGGAACATGTATAGATACATATACTCTTATGGACACGTGTACATGTGAGTTTGGACAAATCAGGAAGTAGGAAATCCGTCAATAAAGTAGTAAGTCTTAAATATATGAAAATCAATATTTTATATACGGGTGCATATATACGTTTGAACACTCTGTTGAAATTTCGATGTAATGAAAAACTTATACTTTGATACAAGTTCATTTATACTATTCCAAATAATCATATTCAATGAAGTTTATTGCCACTAAAAGTACCGATGATTTATTATGATTATTAGATGATCCTTGTAAAAATTGTAACAACAGATTCTTCTCCGTTTCTTCGTGTATTTATTATAGTATTCAAGTGAAACTATTTATTTTTTAATTCATTTTGGATATTTCTGATATATGAATAATCACGAAATAAAAAAAGTGAAACTCATCATAGTGTTAAAAAATAACATATTTTATACAATTTGTATAATCGAATCTTTATAAAGGAAACTTAATAAAAGTCACCATCTGTATCGATTTAATCTTACATTGTCGTTTAACAGTTCTTACTACGTTATTCGATCTTAGTGTAGCAGAATTATGTTTAAAAATAGTCTAAAATAAATTATATAGTGCATTAAACATTGAATTAACTGAAAATTTCTGATCGATTTCGAATTAAATGGAACATGAACGTCAAAGATATTTATAATTTCAATACTTTACAATGTAATTTCCTGTACGGGCTACGACCCGTTACCATTTTATCGATAACATTCCGATGTTGTGCATATAAAACTGTTGAACCTTCATTGTTATAAACTTTGTTACCGTTAATGCGTCAAATCCGAGTTTATGAATTTTATAACCGTCGTCGTTGTATGTTCTCATATAGTACCATTCCCGAAAACAAATTTTTAGTGCTCGCATCGCATTATATTCACGCTGGAACTCGTAAAGAAAGTCACTGTTATAAACGTATTTTCTCTACAAACGTGTCCTTGTAGGTCACCGTTGATAAACTAGGTCCAGGACTTTTAAAACATTTTACTTTATACAGAGCAGCTAAGCAGAAATCGATGGAATTCGTTAATAATAACAATTGCCCAGTCGTTTCTCAATAACTTTAAAGGAGGTAATTTGTTTACATTGGAAAATGGAAGAAATTTCTGAATAGCTTAAGGTGAATATAATATAGTACGCACTGAAAATATTTGCTGTGAAAATAAAACAGTACTCTGAAACGAAGGAATATTATTTGAAATTTGTTGAACATGGAACATACAAAATGGTCTAATATATGAAAAGTATAAAGCTTATTTTATGCAATATATTATACAATGAAATTAAATTAAATAACTAAAATAGACCCTTGCCTGACATTTATGTTTTAAAGTTTGCTATGGAATTCAGTGGTGAATTTGTACCTATACAAAATATTTCCAAATAACATGTCAAGTGGGTGACAGGTAATTTTTGGTAAAAAATATAAAAAAAAATTTATTTATCCAACGCTTAAGTTTTGGGAAAATGGAGTTTGAAAATTCACTATGAAAAGTCGGCAAATTCCATTTCCTTGAAAATTAAGCATCGAGAAAATAATGTATTCTATATTTGTTCATAAGAAATCATCTTTCACCCTCTTGACATGTTATTCAAACGTAATCGGTAAGAAAAATCTCATTTACACAATAACCTCATTTACAACGTCTAATTCATACAGCAATAAAATAAAACTGAAGTAAATCATTATTCGCTTCATCGATGGTAACGTTGACCCAACAAGGCAAAAAGATGTATACATGCAATGAACGGTTCAGTCTACAGCAATTTATAATTGTTGCGTTAAATTACAATCTATGCATATTCATGTCAGAGATCTGTATGTCGTGCAATATACATATTTCGTAGAAGTAGACTACGACTGGGGCAGAGAGGGAAGAGGGTTAACTGCGATCGCGTGAGTACGAACTATTTGTTCTTGCCCCGATTAAAGTGGTTATTAACATGCTTGAATAAATTTTACCGAATTTATTGACAGATAATAATACATGTTGACACTTCAAAGGCCTTTATTATTTAAATAAGAAATTAACTTGTTTGATGAGAAGCTGATTTAAATAATTTTACATTACATTACTCAATGAAGTGTACGAGTGATTATGATCAGTAATTACTGCACAAATTTAGGGACTTTTAGGTTTATGATTTTTTAAAGTTGTGAACATCCAAGTGTTTCATAAATGCTAATCAATTCTATGTATATTCATTTGTACAGATTGACTAACTTTGCTCTCTTTGAGTCAGAAGAATTGTGTCTGACCCAAATTTCTATAAATTAGTCCACAGAACTCTTCACGTATTAATAGAAACTCACGTGCATGATGTCTTTAACACATTGAGTGCCATGTATATTGTATAGTGGTTATCCATGACCTCCATCTGTCTTTTCAGTATTGCCTAGACGGTCACGAATGACCATCAGCATTCATTTGACGTTTTTTTGACGAATTCGAATCCCTTCGTTTTTTAAATATGATTATTTTCACACTTTGAAAAGCATATGAAATACTTTGTAATTAAATTGACAAAAAATTCTGAACGGATCAGTATGCTTTTGAATCAGATTTATTCTTCTTATTTAGTGCAGAATTTCACACTATAAATATCTCTGCAGATAAATAATGATACGATATTGGAAGGAGTATTGAGGATGAAGATGTCCATTCTTGATATCTGTGAAGAGTTTCGAGCACACTACCGAGAAAGAAAAAGATGAAGATATGGCAGCAATCCGGATAAAATTGGATCAATCACTTTTTGTAAGATTAAACTTTTTCCATCACATTTCCTTCAGAATACTTATTTAATTTAGTAGGTATTAAATTCCAATGTTTTTAATAAATCAAAGAAACGTCTGGCTAAAATAAGTACCTTTATATTAGCAAAAATTGAAACTAACAAAAAGAGGCTCGAAATAATTATTCACTAGAATACATATTCAAATGATCATGGTATATAAATTTTGTAGAGATTAGATTCTAAGACAATAAATATCTAAAACATTCTCGTTGAGAAGTTTATCCTAAAATTATGTATTTACGTTGTGTACTAATATCTTAAATAATAATGCAGAATAATAAGAATTTTTCTTGTCTGACAAAATTCAAGAAAGACAAAAAAGAAATAGCGAATTATAAATATTAAAATTTATACGTAGAAGAATACTTTTATTTCTATGCAAGAAAGAAATCCTTAAACTCCATGGAAAATAAAGAATGTGAAGGTAATCTGCTTCTACAGTATGTTAATATTGAAGTAATTCAGATGGTACGATAGAACAAATATGCAGTAAGGTAAATATTTTATTTGAGTAGCTACTGAAATAAAAGTTTACTGCGGTAACATTGGTGTTACTAGGCGAGGAAGATTATAGGAATATTGGGAACATGTATCTTTATAATCTGAATATGTTGTTCCTTCAACTCACCATAAAACTTTATGTGAAAATGTTTCATACTTTTCAAATAGAACATACGCTCATACTTGTTCTTCCGTTGAAAGTACAAGAAACGAGGAAACTTCCGTATCTGTTAGCATGAAATCTTCTTTCAGCGTTATTTGTTCTTCTCTTAAAATGTACGACGGTATTCCCTTTGAACGCATTTCGAAGAAAATGTAAATCATCGTTGGAACACGATACACGAAATAAAGGGACATAAATTTCAAAATAAAATGCACCTCTGTGTGCATATTCTTGCATTGAAATGCGGAAAGGTAAAAAGCCTTCTTTGAATCTAATTTATGAGACAGCTGTGAAATATCGCTCTTCTAATTTTAAGTGTAATTTTACATTATTCAATGTGCAAAGACAATTAAAGTTGTAAATTACTCACAATAATTTGTGTTTTTAACAAATTACGTATAATCTATATATTACCACGTAAAGTTATAGAATCATTAAATTTTTTTATGAAAAATTGTCGATATTTAAACTGTTATAATTTCATTAAAAAATCATACCATTTACCAAGCATTTTAAAAAATAAAGTTTCTACTGTCACGCTACTATATTACTTTTCCCAAAGATGTTTTTGCACCGCGAAGAAAAAAGGCTGGAAGGCGAAGACAATTTTTCCTCTTGAAAATTGTATAAATGCAAACACTACTCTGGAGTTTGGTAAAGTTATTTCGAAATGGAAATTGTTACAGATTTGAAGAGTAGAATCAGTTTTCTGTGAAAATCTCTTAAAACTTAGTATACAATGTTTGTCAGCCTTTTATTCTACTTTAATATGCTGCTAGTAATAAAATGATTTAAAATACCCATTTCTTTCTGGAGATGTGCAAAGTTCTAATTATTCCTATTATTAGTGCATAAAATATTTTTCTAGCGTTAACAGAAAAATTTTTTTGGTGCTACATATTATAATATCAGTAATGTCTAAGAATGCTCCCGTTTGTCCCCTTCTAACTCTTATTCGTATAAAAATATACTAAAGAATATAAGTATGTAAAAATGAAACATACAATAAAAATGCAAATTTTAACCTAAGTTTAATGGAATTTTTATTAAACAGTAAAATAAAAAATTTTATGTTAGTTAAACTTGTCTTTTTATCTGACTAAGATCTTTTAGGAGGAAAGCAAATTTCCGTAAAATTCCCATTCTTCTACGTCAGCTAATATATCTTGGATTCAATAATGAATTACATGCGACGGTAGTATTAATTTACTAGGTCAGTGTATATGGAATATGAATCTTATAGTGGCATTTAACGTTCTGCCCAACGTTAAATGAATTTTATTATATAATTGAAGTGAGATTCTTTATGTACTTTGACAAAACACTAATATATTATCAATAATGAGAATTTTGCAATTCAACACCGATATTTAGGAAATAGATAAAATAGATAAAAATTAGAAAGTAAATAAAACTTTAATATGTCACTTTGATAATTGATATCGACAAATTGAAGCTATTCTGTATACTACAAACTCTGTGTCACTCTGTGTATACATGCCTAACGATTTCCAAAAAATGAATCGTTACATTTGATAATAATAATTTTTATATTATACTCTGTTCTATTATATATTATGTTTATATTTGATAAAAAATTATTATTATCAATTAAAATATTACTTTTATATTTAATAATGATAATTAAAGCATTCGTACCTGTAATCGTGAAATTCTCAGTCTCTTCTCCCTCTGTCTTCGACCACCTCACCAGCGAAGTCATTCCATCCTGAACGTTCTGTTTCTGAGAAGCTTCCGTCGACGACGTCATCTTCTCCGGCGGCTTGCTCCTGATTCTTTCCGCGCTGACGTTCTCTCCTTGACCCCTCGACGGGTTTTTGGAAATTTTGCTGTGCCCGACGCGACCCAACGCGAGTATACTGCTGGCGAAGAGGCTCTGGTCATCTTGATTCATTAGAAACGGCGTTGCCACGCAGGAGAGAATGATAAGAATCATCAACGTGCCCATGGTATATTTGATGATCCTCGGCCTCGATTTCGTGGCGGTTTGAGGGAAACCAGACGAGGGGAACTGGTCTGTTTGCGGTAGGATTGTGTACTGTAGGCTGGCATCGCCCTTTCGTACTGTTTTGTACATAACTAATAAACCTGTGGAATGAAGTAAGTGATTTTTAACTAGATAAAGTGAATATGCTAGTAACTAACCAAGTTGTGAGTATCATTGAGGGTTTCAGGACAATATACTTGTGTTATAAATATAAATATAAACATAAGTATTAAAATAAACAGTAAAATAAATATTAAAAGAAATGTTGAGATAAATAGTAAAATAAATATTAAAATAAATGGTAAAGTAAACAGTGAAATAAATATTAAAATAAATGTTAAAATAAGTAGTAAAATAAACACTGAAATAAATGTTAAAATAAATAGTATAGTAAATATTAAAATAAATGATAAAGTAAATAGTGAAATAAATATTATAGTAGATAGTAAAGTAAATATTAAAGTAAACATTCAAATAAATATGGTTGTATAACCTTAACTGGTTATTTACTGGTACATTTATTTTACTTTCGTTACATATGAACCTTTTGTTGAGAGAATAAAATATAGGGTATAAGGTCACACATCTGGGTTAAATTACTTTTATCTCTAACGATACATCGTTGTTCATATTTATCTATTTCTCAAATTTATAATATTATCGGGAGATCGTTATTATCCAGAACAAAATATTCGATTTTTAGTAACTTTATATATTCTAGAAGCTTTCAAATGAAATACTTAAAGAAGTTATACCGTATTTGCACATTAACACGTATGGAAAGATCATTTTTTTAATTTTAACATCATTTCATACTAATAACTATGTTTAAAAATGAACGCAAAAACACGGGTATTGTTTCAATTTAAATGCAGAAATAAATAAATATGAGTTTAAAAATTGGTTATACTATTATACATTATATTAACACTGAAAACGTCAAATGGATTAAAATAATCTAAGAAACTATCCGAAAAATGATTAGATAAACCAATTTACGAATGGGCATCCTCAAATTTGTAAAACTATTTATATTTTTTTAAAGTAGATATTAAAAATATATATTCATTAAATTATTATTTACAGAAGACGAGAAAGTAAGAAATTTTATAAACATTAAAATTTAATGAAAATAATGAAATTTTTCTATGAATAAAAACTTCTGTCTCTCATATTTATTTTTGCAGTCTTTTTAATTTCGTGTCATCATTTAAAAACAGTCCCGATTATATTTCAGAATTTATATTAATTCATTAAATAATTCGATTTTCCTCCGAAAGTAATTTATTTCAGTTTCGTCCCACTCGCATCATTTTTGAGATTATGGCTTCATCTATATTCGTCAGGTGATTTGCACATTTTTCAAATGGAACAGATGCAATGCACATATGAAAAATACATACGCAAACATAAATATGAATTAAATGTAATAAAAAATATATATTCAGGTCATTCATATTTATTAGATGTAGAAATATATAAAATATATACAGATTCCAGGATTGCACAAATAAAAATATGCAAGATAAACCAAATAGTGTGTCACAAGCTGTTATCTCAAAAACGACAGCAGATGGCGATTTTATATTTTGTTTGAATAAAATGTAATATGTATACCAATCATTTTATTTTTAACAAACGCGATTGGTATAATTGCTGGAATGAAAATGAAAAATCACATATTAATTTATCTTTGCTTAGAAAAATTATAAAAACCTTAGTTGAAGCAACTTTTTATTATGCATAGTTGAAGAAGAATAAGGGTGAATAGTTATATCGAAGAATAATTTTTTTCGGAAGAAACGCTGGAAACTGGTAGAAAATATTTAAGTAGACATGTTTTGGAAAATGAAATAATTGACGCAGAAGCCTTATACCTTTTTATTTTTCCTATTCCCATTTAACTTCATAGAGGAAAATCATCTTTGTAATCTGATAATGATTATTTATAAACGTAATGAACATAGCATAAAATAACTGTATTTAAGCATGTGCTAAATAAACAAAAGTTTTTTTAGATAAATGTTATTCAGAATATTTTTACGATGAAAGTTAATAAAATCAAAACAAATAATACCATATTTCATTGAAAAACTTAAATGGTTCTCTTCTGCCTATAGCAAGTGGACCAAAAAATGTATTGTATATTAAATAAGTAATTATTTGATTTTATATTTAATTTAATTAAAGAAAAAGCCATTTTATATACATACACTAATTTACAAAGTGATTATTATACTTAATTAGTCCATCTTCTATATTTAAGTGAATACTGAAATTATAGCTAGTGTGAAATAATACGTTAGTACTTTAATTTTTAAAAAAGGAATGAAAATATATAACAAGTAAATCTTGAAAAATTATTATGAAACAAAATTTTCACCGTCTGTTTCATAGACAATACTACAGAATAATTGCAACGCATTTTATACGGATTTTATAAATTAATGTCTGTAAGAGCATTTGTAATCATTTGTAAAAATTTGTTTCCTACACGTTCTATGTCTTTTCGAGAAAATTTTCTGTCATCACATATAGTACACCTGTCACTGTTTTAGCTTCCAATTCGTGCCTACATTATTTCAAGTACCACGATGCACCTGCTTGCGCAACTAATTTAATTTACGGAATATAATTATAAATAATATACTAAATACAACACTCACTTGTCCTTACAACAAAAATGACACATGCATTTTTATAATATTTCAAATGCCATGGTAAAAGGTGTAGAACAAAATCAACATCATTTATTGAAAAACGTAATTCCATGAAAATAATAACAAAAAGAATTCAATTATCAGAAAATTACTCGCGAAACTTGTTGAATGAGTTTCACAATAACAATCTACAATGCACATTCGAACGAAGCAACATTAAAATGTAGAAACCGTGGCTCCAAGCAAATCGAATCGATCCCCGTCAACAAATAAATAATTAACCAGCAAAGGAAATAAATAGAAATACCATTCACCATCTTCAATGAATTCGATCGATCGAGGAGCTTAACCAAAACATGTGTCTCCGCATTAATTTAGCGATGTGCTCGCGATAGCGACAGCCTTCGATCAAGATCCCCAAAGGTCCATTCGGAATAGCCGAAGAAAAATAGTAACACGGGACCTCGACATTTCCCGTCGACGTGATCGATTTTCGATTTTCGTTTCGTCAAATGTTAACCACCACGCGAACTGGCAAATCATTCACGTCGACGACACCGGTCCCTGCCATCTGAAGGTTAACTCCGTGTTCTCAGGACCACGAAAATAATTAAAAACAGAAAATAAAGATCATAGAACCAGACGCGAAATTAAACAGAAAAATTGCTGCGAAACTATTCATTGCTGACGAAGAAAAGAATCATGCTAGGAATACCGAGAAAAACGCGTGAAACAATAGAAAGTACGAAGCAAGCGAGCTTCTTTTTCGTGGTAAACGTTAGAGATCCGGTTGGTGTTGTTTTGTTCAGTGATTGGAGATCATATACGACATGAGAATATCGGGAAAATAATGGTGAAGATGGTTATATTATGATAAACAGATACTCACGATATGTGAATAACAGAAAGGGTTGCTATTCTCCGTTTCTACTTCCGGCAGTTTGCTCCGTCGAACGAACACGACAATCCGGGACAGGCAGAACCTCCCCTATGAGAGAAATTCTCGTGGAAAATGCGCAGATGCGCCTCGGCGGGGGTTGCGCACGCGTAGCGGCCAGCTTCCGGAAATCCGTCACTATTTGAATGCCGCCGAGAGAGATGCGTGGGACCGACGTGGGTTCAAGGACATTTGAGAATTCGTCGACCTTGAACTTCTCTTGCGACGTTCCTGTTACGCGTAGTCCATGCCTCGTCTTGGATCTTTTTGTTTACGACAGGAACCGGAAATAAGAGTTAGAGGTGCACCGAGGGAAACCCAATCATAGGGTAAATTGGATCAAAAACAGTCTATGTTTGTTATATCAAAAATTATGTTTCGCAGTTTTTGCTTCTTATTCGTGAAAGAAATATTTCGAAATTCTTGTAAACTTGTTGTTAATATTCCAGTTTACTGAATGTTTATTGTCGAATATAAGATGCTTTGGTTTTCTTTGGTTTGGAATATTGAAATACTTTTTTTAAAGAAATTCAGGGATTGGAAAACTACACGATTGAAAGGGTGGATGTTCTTGTTACATATTATAATTGTAAGTTATTAAACAATTTTTTTCAGTGAAGATATCTATTATTGATAAGATAAAGCGTTTTTGTTGCTCTGAAGGAAAGTGTAATTAGGAACAAAAGGACAAGGAATCAAAGATTAAGAATTGAAGATTTCATGAAATTGTTGGATAAATAGGTAGTTTATCTGTTATGTGGCGTGGATTTTGTAAAAACTACACGAGAAGCTGTTTAATAATATTAATGATATTTAGATGCAAAAACGGTATAAAAATCAAATTTTCATTTAAAGGATAATTTTCATCATTTTTATGAGGCAATATATAATAGTTATTATTTAAATTTATTAAAATGACGATAGAAATTAAAAATTAATACGACATTTAGTATAATTACTTTTGTTTTAAACAAAACATTTAATCGATTAATTGTAGAACATGAGTTAATTAGTCACATCTATATACTCCTGGTTGTGTCTTAATCATTTGTAATATTTCTATCAATTTCTTTGTTTAAGGATTTTTAAATTTTATTAAATTAAAATATTCATATGAACACAACTGATAACAACTTACAATGTCTCTTTAATTGTGTTCATATATCGAAATTGAAAAAAATGATTTATTCTATAAGATTAATTAGTGCAAATTATTTAAGAATTTTCAAATGTAACAACTACATCACATTAAAAAGTAATAGTTAACAAACACGAAGTACAAGATTACGAGAATATTACTTTATTATTTTATTACAAAATATATTCATATTAAATGCAACAACAAAAATATATCGAATTAGAAGAAGTAACATTTAAATATATCGATGAAATGGAAGACATTATTTACATATTATTAGAAAATAATAAAGCTTCTTCTTTACAGGAAAGTCATGATAACTTCCCTACTTGACAATGTTGATAATCTTTATAAATTCAACAAGAGCAGTTTCTGAATTAAACAATGAGCACAGTCTTTATTGCATTGTTGGCATGGCTGTTGAGGATGCAATATCAGTGGCATCTCCAGATCGCCACAATTGCGTTATCGTTTTCGTTTGTGTATGGAAGTTTATACCCTAGAAATACGTTAAAAATTAAAAATATATAATTTAATATTCATTTAGACATATTTCGAAGATACATATAATAAGAAATTTCGTTTCAAAAGTAAAAGTAGAAATTCGATGCAAAAATCAAATTATTTATTACCTACGTATGTCAATTAATTATAAAATTTAATTTTCTGGACAAAATTTGTAGAATAAAATATATTGCATAATATTAGATTATACAACATTGGAAATATTTATTTTGAAAGATTAAATACGTAAAAGAATTAATCTCGCTATATTACTCCATATTTTTAATCTCTGTGTAACATATAAGTGTAAACATATAAGTCTTACTTTTAACATACATTTACAGAAACATAAGCACAAAACATTCATACAGTAAGTATTAAATGAAATTCATAACTATATACTTACATATTTTCCATAAAAATGATTATCACCCAAGAAGGATCCTTTATTGCCGGTGAAACTAAACATTGGCAATGGCACTGGAATAGGAACATTTATACCAACTTGTCCAGCTTCAATCCTGTTTACAAACGTTCTCGCTGTTGCACCGTTCGTCGTAAAAACAGCAGTCCCGTTTCCATAGGTGTTTTTATTAATAATATCAATAGCTTCATCCAGAGTATTGGTGAAAATGCATGAAAGCACTGGCCCAAAGATTTCCTCGGTATAGCATTGCATCGTTGGCTAAAAAGATAAAATTCATATTTTACCATTCTTATATATTAAAAAGAGGAATGTGAATAAAAATTATATTTATCGTACTCGTTCTACCAAGTGCTATCAGCTGTCATTTGAATGATGATTCATTCTACGTCTATTCATTCAAAGTTCTTTCGTCCTAATCGGAAATCCCTATATTAACCCATTTGTATCATTAAGCGGAATAATCCGCACACAATTACTTCTAGTTGTCTATATGTTACTCGGCTCTATCGGTCAGAGCAGATTAATTTCAATCAAAAGCTTGCAAGACTTTCTGTTGTGCATTCCCGATTTACAAAGTAAGCTTCGCATTTAGGGTGAAGATGCAAATGGGTTAAACTTACACAATATTCATTTAAATATTATATTAATTCAAATACTATATTTATTTAACCAGTTAACTACGTTCGACCAATATGCACGTCATCTTGAAGCTTGAAATGGTACTAATTCTTTCAACGATAAATTCTATATTTTTTCAGATAAACATGTAAATCTGCTCTGTTTTGTTTGATCTCTCATTAACACTAAACGTCCGTGACCGGTCAAACGACCGGTTTTAAAATTTGGTTTAAAATTCTGCGTGTTTCCTCGTTCATTTAACTTCATACAAATTTCTGTATTGTCCGATTGATCAGTTTTTCAATTTTTGTCTTTGCTCCTGTTTCTGGTTCCAATAAGAAAAATTTATCGGCAAACTTATTTACTTTTATTTTATAATCAGTTATTTAAATAGTTACCGGTAGAAATAGGTATATATAAAGTGTTGGTACGTTTAGTGTTAAAATATACCCTAGGAGCATTCGTCCTGCGTTTGGCGAGTAGATTTTTCAAACTAAATTCCACAGTTAACAAGTTAAATATTTATTTAAGTGTTAAACGATATGAACCTTCACATCTGCCAGCACGGTAGGACCAACGAAATTTCCTTTTTCGAATCCCTTGACGACAAGTCCTCTGCCATCGAGAGCCAATGTTGCGTGTTCTTTCACCCCCGACTCGACTAGACGATGTATTCTTTCCTTCGACTGCGGCGATATAACTGGTCCAAGGTCGGTGCCAGGTACATGTCCAGCGTTAACCTTCAACCTTTTCGCGGCCTCTACCAAATCTGGCACCCAGTCCTTCGATTTACCGACGAATATGGCAACCGAGAGCGCCATGCATCTCTGGCCAGCTGCTCCGAATGCGGCTCCCACAATTTGCGAAATCGTTTTATTCTTGTTCGCGTCTGGCAGAACGACACAATGGTTCTTCGCTCCCATATTGCACTGCACGCGTTTACCGTGAGCACTGCTCTGTTTGTATATATATTTTCCCTGGAAAAGTAATAATTGGCGTGTTTTAGAATTAAATGTTAAATAAATATACTTTATTCTATATTTTTCTCTTATTTTGTTTTCAAAGGAACTCAGTTCGTGCCTTTTCGACAAATCACTCGACAGCATTTTGTATAGTAATTTTGTTCAAGTTATAGGAAACAGCTATAAGTGAATTGCATATTTAGATCATCCAAAATATAACTAAAACTCTGTTTGTATATACATATATTTTCCCCAGAAAAGTAATAATTGGTGTAGTCTAGAATTAGATTAATGCTCTGTTTTCATCAGTAGGAAATTAGAAAAGGTTATTGTTAAAAGGTAAAGGTTATTGAAAAATAGATGCACAGCTTAACTAATTGAAAATGTTGTAACGATGACAATGTATTTTGCATTAGTTGTAAATTTTATAGAAGGAACAAATCACTAATTAACGCATTGATAAGGTAGTAATTTAAAGTTATATCTGTGTTTTACATAACACGTTACTAAAATTAATTAAAAGTTCAGTAATTTACGAAAATTAATTCTTTTCGGACAATGATCTACTGTCAAAAACCTTTTTCATGGAAAGCTGAAGTATTGATCGAATCTTCAAATGACAAAAAAGACGAGACTAATACGTCAATCACTCATTGGTTAACAATAGAATACACGAAGAAATCGAAAATAATCCATTGCTGCAGTTTTTAAGGAGGATTACATATTAATCATATTAAACGCTAGATAGATCTAGTGTCAAGTGATTAAATTATTTCCTTAAAATGTTCAATTTCAAACAAAAATATCGCACAGCGGTAACTTTTGACAAAAAGCTGGCCTGAATTCATAATTTTATGAAATTTCCATAAAAATTAGTATGCTTATATTTTTAGAGTTGCTATCTCTGAATATGTAATCAAAAATACAAAATTTAAAATGGCGGATTTAACTTGACTGATATGAACATAATTTTTAAGTAAATTTTTTTTTAAATTGATTGTTATTCAACTTTGATAAAATTTATACAATTAAAACATCGAATTTAATAGGATGATGTTAATTTGAAAACGTTTTTGAAATGATTTTTTACTTTTAAAGAAATTATTGAACTAACCGCTCTAAACTGAAGCTTTATCAAGTTACAATTACAAAAATACTGTTCAGTAAGACTGTATCAATGATCTAGATAAATTTCCTTATTTTATATTCAATTTTTTCAAATACATTAACCTTACTAATGCCAGAGATATCGTTAATATAATTTAATTGGACAGACTGTATACACCTCTCATTAGTATTTTTAAATTTAAATGTCTCAAAATGACGCAAATTTGTGCAAATTTTGTCAACGAGATATCATACTAGACATCTTACTTGATATGAGGAAATTTGTCTCAGCATGACACTCGGTGACACTCATTATTGTTTTCCTTCCAGTTTGTTAAAACTTGACTTAGATTTATGGTACATTGAGAAAGGAATTACAAGTGAAAATTCAAAAATTCTGTTCTCTAATATCGTGTCAATCTCGCGGTGAAGATATTAAACAGAATTCAACAAGCATAAATATCGCTGAATTTTTCTAAATTCAAATTAAATATTATTCTTGTCATCGATTATTATACTGTAAAGTATAAACTTGAATATGAACTAAAGTATGAACTTTTCTCTGTTTTCAAATTGATGACAAAGTAGTTGTACCGATCACGAAGAAATAAATCGCAGGACAAAGGGTTAACAGAAATTTTCCCTGGCACATTAAACGGGTTCTAATTTTCGAAACACCAAGAGGTTTCAAACTTCGTCAACTTTCTATATCTCAGTAACCAGTCAATATATTTAACAATTTTACGCGATATTAAATCCACTGAATTGTATGCAATAAATCAGCTGCATACTTTGAAAATTGAATTGTGGCTAGTTTTTCGTCAGTAGACATCACTGTGCGACGTCCGTTCACACTGTAAATAAATTGAATAAGAATAGATCCAATCGTTCGGATCCAAGTACCGTTTCCGCATTGAAACCATGTTCCCCGATGCTGTGAGCACGAATCAATTTTTATCGGCGCAACGTACCGCTTGATCGGAACCAACGAAAGAAACCGCCTTGATGTCCGGATGCTCGCAGATAAAATCAACAGCGGCGTGTTGGCCGTGTATAACATTCAACAGACCTGGCGGGGCACCAGCCTTGGTGAACAGATCGGCCAGAATCATCGAGGCGCCCGGCACACGCTCCGACGGCTTCAAAATGGTGGCGTTTCCGCATGCGACCGAGACCGGAAACGACCAAAGGGGAATCATCGCAGGGAAATTAAACGGACAGATGGAAGCAGTTATGCCGAGAGGAACTCTGTAGGAAACTATGTCCATATCTGTGGCAATATTTGGCATACTCTCGCCCATTTGAAGGGTAGGAATCGCGGTGCAAGCGTCAACCACCTCTGCAACGCAAACCATTTACGCATACATCAGAATGGAACAGTTTGAAACTTTGAATGCGATGAAATTTGAAGAATATCAAGAATCGTTCATATTTCTTTTATATTAGAAGAAGTTTTTTTAATACGTTGAACGCCGCACGATTACATAGAGCAAAATAGAGAAAATGAAGAAAATATAATATTAAATCGTTAAATTGAATTGCATTATTATTGCATGCTGATCTAGCTGAATCTTATCGCATTAGGTAGCATTATTTATAATATAGAAATGTTTTTAAATAATCGTCGTCTGATTGACTGAATAGTAATTCGATTTGGGTGGGGGTCACCGGTGACCCCCATGGCGTTTAACGTGTTAACCAGTTAACTGTAGAATTTAGTTGGAAAAGTCTCTCATTGTGCACGTAATAAAATTAAATGATAATGTACTTGTCAAACCCAGAGCAAATGAATTTTCCAGAGAATAACCAGTAAGGATTCAAATTACAAAGGGAAAACTTCAAATGCAACTGCATCACTTGTTTATACAACATAATTAAACTATCCTGGAATTCCCCTATTCATGATTCAAACAACTCATATTAAATAGTGCAGGGTACGCCATTTTAATTTATAAATAAAACTGTGTCTTGAAGTATATGTTGTTTAAAAAATGTTTTAAGTAGAATACTTTTCCTTTTGAGTGAGCAGTAACGTGCTATACTTAGTTTATAGTATAGCAGTTACTAGACCCCAAATACTTAAGTAAATTTATATTTTCATAGATATATATTAAAATTGAATAGAGCTTTGACAGACAAATTAAAATTGAAAACAAATGAAATTCTATTTCCCAGTTTTATTAGGTTAATTTTGTTTTTTAATTTTTCTTTTTCTTTCTTATACCAATCTTACAACATGGATCTTCTTTTACAAACACCAACCAATTTTTGAAACTCATTTCAAGGTTCGAATTTAATGTTTTTATAAAATTACTTACGTAGTCCTCGAAGAACATCTCCTTCGGCATCGGCCATTGTCTTTCCATTTTCCTTGACTAGATTTTCTGCGATCTCTTTCTAGAAGAAACATATTTTAGACACATGAGAATGTAACAATTTGAAACTTTAAATCAATTAAAGTATAAATATCGAAAAGCGACTATACTTTGTCACATTAGCACTGGTAAGTTTAGTTAAAATGTTCACTTATTCGTAATTCAGATAATTCAAGTTTCACGAAACTTATCTGCTTATATCGATATCAATATATAACACACTGCTGCATATCAAAATTAAAAGATTAAACAATATCAGACTAAGTTGACTAGTTTACACAAAATTATAACACTCGTTAAGGAAAGTTATCTTTTTGACCAATTGTTGGCGGAAACAAGATAGAAATCACATTGTGTATATAAATAAACAAACCTGGATTACTCAAAATAGTTTTCAAGCATCATTAAAATTTGTAATAATTAATTTGAAAAATATATCATACGGTACAACTTTTATCGAACTTGATGCAATATGTTTGCATAAGATATACTGCTTTTATTAAGGATCATACCGAATGTTCTCGAATAAGTGCTTGATATTTCAGCATCAGAGTTTGTCTTGTAAGCACACTGGTGTTTTTCCATTTTTCATAGGCACTCTTTGCACTTTGGACAGCCATTTCCATTTCCTCTTTCGTGCTTTTCGGAGTGCGACATAGCAGTTCGTTTGTTGCTGGATCGTGAACATCGGTAAATTCCGTTGCTTTTGAATCTGAAACAAATTAATATCGCTCACTTGTTTTCACGGTATTTTTCGAAATAAAATTTTGAAGTTGTTCAAAGAATTATAATGATGTTAATGAAAGCATAGTTTGCACATAAATTATTAGTGACAATTTCGTTCGTATACTTATTTCTCTAAAAGATTTATATTCTTTCAACCCTTTCATTCCCTAGTAAAATATTTTTATAAAAATTCTAGTAATGATACCACTAATAATAATAATAATCCGAAGGTGATTATTACGTCGATTTTATACTGATAGCTTCGCGACTAATCCACTGATTTGCATTTTACTAATATTAAAATATGTAGTTTCAAGACGATGCCACCGCGAACTAAAGGGTTAAATAGTAAGATAAATCTGTTGTTACATAACATAACAATAATTTTCGAATTTACAACGCACTCTAAAAATCTATTTTATTACTTAAATATTATAAGTACATCATCTCGTTAATTAATTATCTTTGATAACCTTTTGAAAAATTTTTCTGTTAAACTACTTATACTTCTATTTAAATAGAACATTTCACCTATTCTAAGAAACAATTATTTAACACTATAATACCAGATAAAACTAAAGAATTCATTAAAGTTAGTAGTAATTTTTGTTTGCATATTTAATATCGTTTAATTACAATACATTGTAGTCGATACTTGTTCATATATATTTACCGATATTTTGCACAAAAAAGTGGTACTGATTCCGCACAGAGTATAAAAATATGTTTTGCAGATAGTATCCATTTAACAAATCATGGAATTTTTATTTGTCCGATAAAACATCTATAAAGATTATATGAAACACTGCATTGCGGTGTATATACATTTATTAATTGAATAAATCCATTTCATTTCAGTTGTTATTAGAATTATAGTGCTACAAATTTGTTAATATTGTTTTAATTTACAACTTATAAATAACATTTTCCTTGCTTGTTTCATTTCCAATTTAATACTTGCATAGTTGATACAGTTTTATTGTATCTTTGTTCTCACTGTTATTAATACATCTTCTGTAAATTTAATTCAATTAAAATTTTTTTATATTCTTATTATTTTAACTTATGTTCACATTAATATATTAATACCTTTTTATTAAGCCAATGTTGGTAAAAAATCATAAGACCATTACATCAATGATATAAAATCGTTGAAAATTAGTCAAAAAGTTTTAATTTACTAAAAACAGTTCATTATGACTAAAAATGGGGAAATTAAAGATTTTGACGAAATTCCAATTAATATATTCATAAAATCAATTATAGGCAATACTCGAAATTGTATTCTTGAAGTTAATTGAACAGATAAACTTCGTGAACATTTTTATAAAACAATTTAGAAAATATCAATTGCTTCGTATACAATTAGCTTAATTCACTTCGCTCGTAAATGTTTCTCATTAAATTGATTCTTGGCATTAAATTCACTTGGAAATATGGCTCCTTTTCAATTCAATTTCAATAGGTACTCTTTAACGGTACTTGTGCCGCACTGGCTTGGATTAAAACACCTTCAGAAGTAGTCTTTCAATACTGATAATGGAATGCGTCATGTGAAAAATAGTCTGTACACCACTTTGCAAAATGAATATTTATTTCACAGAAATTGCATGCGTTTATCATAGTAATATTTATACTTTATATCATTTTTTAAAAATCTGTTAAAACATCTACAATACGAGCTATAAATACCTTAATTTCATTTAAATATTACTTGTTTATATACAGAATAATATATTACTATTTATTAAATAAATCACTGTTATTTCAATAAAAAATTGTACAAATATGGAACAGTATCGTTTGACAAGATCTTTATTATTTTTAACTCTAATTGTAACAGATACAATCATATGGAATTGTCTTTTTCACAAATAATACATTGCAACGCAATTACAATTAACTATAGGAAAATTGATTGATTTTTCGATTTACTTAAATTGATTAATTTTCTTCCTTCTTGCTATTAATTATTTGATCTTTATATTGTATTTCTAGTTTCTCCGCTAAAATATAAATTTAAATAACAACATACACATATAAACTAGGAATTTATAAACAACTCAGGTCTAAATTCTGAAATCAACGTTATTAATAAAATTTTAATAAAATAATATAATTACCTACGAATTGGCCATTAATGTACAGCTTAACCGATGGTACGCTACAGCTGTAACTCCTTATGACAATGCGCGCCTAAAATATCATCGAATCCAAATTAAATACACCGAATCGCGTTACTGAAGCCGATGGAATAAATCTTACATTAATTCTACAGAAATATTCTATCTATATTCATACCTACGCACAATCATGAAATTCTGCCAATGATTGAAGCAATGATGAACAATTTAAGACGAGCTTATATTTTTAGTTGCATCTTACTTTATAATACATTTAAATCTACGTCACCCATTTAACGTACAATTTACAATTACAATTACCTAAAACTTTAATACATATGATTTAAAAGTGTAAGCACTGGTATATACTTAAATATGCCATCAACTAATTTTAATATAGGACATCTTCTCTCAACTTGCAAATACGTTTCCCAATATTCCCATCGTCCACGCATCATCACTTTTCACGTTGAATACACGTAAAATGAAAATATCCGATTCGTAAAATATACACGAACTTGTAAAATAAGTATAAGTACAAAGATATTGCAATTCCGATAAATATCAGATAAAAGTTCGAACATACAACGCATCGTACGAAAATACTTTAAGTATCTTCGTTTTACATTTCACATATAAATAAGTAGGACTTGTTCTATTTAAAACTGGTTCATCTATAGGAGATACGATAGAACAACATTTTTTCCCATTTATCTTGTATACAGCAGGGATATTTTAAACCCATACAAACTCGAGCATTGTTGTGTAGTTAAAAGTGTAACATATTCACTCGAATGCTCCGAGTTTTCAATTAATGATACTTTTGTTGGATAAAGGATAACCCATTCAAAGCAATTGTTTGTTGGGGGCATGGTAAATGACGCTTTGACACGATATTCTGATTGGCGAATCGATTCAGCTCGGGGATTGTGTTACGTAAAGTATGCAAGTTCTATTACTCGATTATTGGTAATGGCATTCCCCTTTGCGAGTGTTACTGCTCTCGTCAACTTCATTTCAGAATCAATTGGAGCGAAGATGCGTATCCGTAGAAAACAACGTGTATGTTCATACGTATTGCGTGAATTTAACTCATTCTCGCCGGCATGTACCACCGGTGGTAGACAGTTAATTTATAACATTTAAATAAATCAACTTTAATAAGTTTATTATTTATCAAATTATTTATTTACATTCACCCGTAATTAGCAACTAAAGTTAAGAAACTAGAGACGTAACAAAAGAATACACTTCAACGTTATTTTTGTAAATATTATTGTTATTGTGGTCTATGATTAAATTTATATAAACATGTCCCAACGTGAATGTGTTAAACATTGACAATTAGAGATTTGGAATACGGAATAGGCTTTTATTAATGAATCACGCTTTAAGTTTAATCAAATATCTATTTTCTTCATTACACGTGAATCGAAGCGAAACACTGTTTTGCTGTTTTCAACTGAAGTCAGAAAACTAGAGACGTAACAAAGGAATGCCCTTGAACATTATTTGTTCAAACATTATTATTATGCTCTATAATTAACTAGTTAATTATTAGGATCTCCTTGAAAAGTTTGTCTATAAATATTCTGGTATGAATATTTACGTGTTCATATGTACAAATACTTTTCCAAACATTTTCATTCGAGTAGTGTATACCTATGAAATTGGTCGTTTCGAAAATGAATATTCCCTTAACACTAGAACTACCATACCAGTCAAAATGACTAGTTTAGAATACTATAATAAATGTCTGAAGGAAACGGAAAGAATCTATAGTTACAATTTTTATAGGGACTACATATTTTCACAAAATTTTCATCGTGAAACAGATTCTTCATCTTTGAAATTAACAGCTACAGTAAATGAAACTTTATACTTAATATTTAATAATTTTATTACTACACGTAACAATTGCACACAAGTTTTATATACGTTTGTTCGCATATTTTGATCTAAAAGTAGCTAATTTTTGTGAAGGTGGTAGTGATAAATTGTGATATATATAATGTTCCACTCTGACCTACGCGTAACGAATAATATTGATTTTTCAAAAATTGAGGTGGAAACTTTATCCTTAATCTCACTTATCGTTGTGCAATTTGCAGTTGAAATAGAAAAGTACACTGAAACCTCGATATCCGTTATCCAAGCTTGCTTACCTAGCGAATTATTTCGTTATCAGTACAATATACTTCATACCATTCGTGTATGTAGTTTATGCAATATTTACTTTCTTCTACGTCTCAAATTCTTCGAAGACAACTTTCAAACAATTACTTATACTAAGAAATTTATGTAATTTAGTACCTAAAAAATATTGGACCTTTCAAATCTGATATGATGCTTCAATGTTTGTGTTCTAAAATATTATTATATGAAATTTGGAATAGCAAGAATCGTTATGTTTCGCGAAAGTTCTATTATTCGAAGATACTTATTTACCAATTAAGTTCCAATAATCGAGGTTCTATTGTTTATTGTTCAAGCTTCCGGGGAATTCTCTGGTCAACACACTATTAAAGAAATGCTGTGACAGAGAATTCAATGAATATAAAAGCTCATTTAAACGTTAATTAATCAGATGCAAATTATTATGAATCGAATCTGAATTTTTCTGTACTTAATAGCAAAGGTTAGGCTCGATGAGTATTGTTTCGCAGATAAGTACATACAGTTGCATTGTAGTTTAAAAATACATGTGTATGATATTATAGTTTTAAAAATAAACGATAAGATGATGAAAGAATTATTATGACTTTGATTAAATTTATCAATCAGTTCTTAGATTAAGTAAGTTATTTGAAATATTTTTAAACGAAAAATATCGATTTGTTTACGCAAGTAAATATTAATTTACTTTTGAATTACTATAATCTAAGATTGTGTATCGTTGAAATGTTTTTAGATCAAATTTATACGTTTGATAATATTAAACTAATTTTATTAACATTCTACGTAATCCTACTAATGCCTCTCCCTTATTGTACCTATCTTCTCTCTATACAGTCTGTTCGGTAACAAGAGTTAAAATATTTATAGGACTGAATGTCAATAAAAATGTGAAGCAAAAATTAAAAAGAAAAAAGACTGAATTATTGATTACTTTTTTGAATTGAATAATATACTATGGAAATCCAATGAATTATGACCATCCACTAATAGCGATATAATTGAGGAAGGTCAGTACCAAACACAAGCATTGTCGTATTTCACGAAAGATAAAGACGGAGATATAAGTCATGTATCGTAACTATTAAATTTTAAACACTAATAAATTATAAACGATCTCAAACTTGTGATTGGCAGAATAATACATTCAAGTAAAATTGTACCAACTAAAGAGGCAATTGTAATTGTAAATTTTCTTTTTACGATATTTTAATGATTATTTGAGGGATGTTGATGTTTTTTCAAATGTAATCATAGATTCCCAATTTTGTGACATTCTAGCTGACGTTAAGGTGTGTTTGATGACTTCGTATCTTTTGAATAATAAAGTTAGATACTATTCCTGGTATGGCCATGAAACAACTTTTAATTTAGAAATCTAGATTTGATCAAGGAACTCTCGAACTATCTGTTGCTATGCCAACGTAAAACAACTATTGCGGTTCTCAAACCTCAAAATATATGTGGATTTGCATACTGGTTAATGGTGTAATTAAACTACAACTGTTTATTCTAATATATTCTATTTTAAAGATGACATTATTATCATTAATCAATTGCTAATAATTAATATAATCATCAGTAGGAGTAGGTTGAAGAATATAGTGACGAAATAGAAGTAAAATTTATTTTGTTTAAAGATTTTCCTTTATTTAAAATAAATAAATAATATAATATTTTAAAACTCAATAAAATAATTAAACAGTTAAGTCAGTTAGATGATTAACCAATATATTCTATATTAAACAAATATTGATATGTGCAACAAGTTGCTCATATTTTTAAATTTATAGACACATTTCAATAACTGTTAAAATGAATTCAAGTTAATTTATCACAGTCGATTGTGCAATAATCACTGTGATAGTACTTCAACGAATAATATCTGCACTAAAAAAGTTGCGTAACGGAACTACGTTACAGTCAATAAAATATTTCACAATACATTCGAGTCGGAGGCAGGAACTTTCTATTGCATGTTTATTAAAAATATGTTATAATAACTTTAAAAAATTATAAGTTACCTCAATAATAATAATTTCACTTCAAATAGTAATAAAAATAAAAAATAATTAACTATATAAAATATACTATATAAAATATGTGGTTAAACATAGAAAGTCCGTTTTATTTATTATTTGGATGTTTATTGTAATATTTTTTATAATTGTTCACAGTAATAAACAGAAGTATATACGTTTTAAAAACTGAAAATTTTCAATAATTCATACATTTATGAATTAATTTCAAGCCTGCAGCTTAACATAAATTAATAATTATGTTATTATTTATTATACAAATACGTTATTTATATCATATTAATAGCAATCTCGCTAATTACTTTACAATTATATACCTTTTCATTAGATTGTCATTGCCGAAAACAACCCCCAGTCAAAGAACATATTAATTAAATTTCATCGGTATAAAACCATACGATCCATTAAAAAAAGTGTATCCTAAACAAATAATATTCATGTGTCAGTAAAGAAATGAATAAATTTTCCCTACAATTTTAATTATGAACCAATCCACGAAAATTTGAATTAAGGGATGATCTTCAAAAAAAGAAAATGGTGGCCCGAATAGCGTTGATCCAGCATTCATACATTTCAAACTAATCCGTGACACGAAAGCGTATAATAGAACTGAACGACGGCAATTTGATACTATAAACTCGGATTGTCCATGTATTCTTAACATTATATGTATAGTCAGCGAATCACCGGTACATATCTGAAGACACGGATCACAGATAAGAGGAACAAAACGAGCACGATATCTGTAGCAGCGGCGTGCATCGATTTTTCACGACCAATCGGAAAGCCCACATTCGCACGCGTACACACGCACACGGAAGCGAAAGTTTTCAACGTGCAACCAATACAGATTCAACGCGTTGGTTATTAGCGAATTCTAAGCAGAAAACGATCAAGCCCGAACGGAAATGTTCATGGTGTGCCTGTAACGTACCTCACACTTGGCGATTTTCGCGAGGAGCGCCATGATTCAGAACACGTTCGTGGCTGTCAGTGGTAGAACTGGTCGATTCACTGAAAAAATGGCCTTGCCTAGAGTCAAGCGTGGCAGCCAATGCTTTCAACGCGGATAATCACAGCTGTTTACAACGTGCCGAAGCGCCGATGTTTTCAGAATCGTTCTCCAGAGAATTCTCGGCTCGACGATGTCCGAGGGATCCACGAAAATGGCCGAACAATATGTTTGCTCTGTTATCGATTCAAGGAACTGTTTCGCTGGGAATTTGATAAGCGTTGATCTTAAATTACGAGTTTGATTTTTATTTTGGCGAGAGACGACGAAATTGTATATGGTTTCTTGGTGTTGAATATCAGATAGGAGAGAAACATTTTGATTGTTATTGAATATTGATAACAGATTTGAAGGTGGTTCCTTAATTAACCGTTGCAAATTTCGTAACCGACAATTGTATCGATAAGGTGGGTATTATTGAAAGGGTGATACCAACAGTTGGGCGGTCGACGATGTGTGCTTTGATTTTGGAAGATGTCGCCACGTGATAAAAATATACTATGAAATTATTGAAATTATTTTTTTAAGATTTTTTAATTTTTCAATATTGTAGAATTCTTTTCATTTCCCTAACTGTTATGTGTTTTGCATGGACGAGTGTACGAAAATAATTGAGCGTTGGAAGATTGGTATTCAAAAGAGACAAGAACATAATTGTTTTGAGAATATCATGCTTAGTATGTAGCTATTGAATGCAATTGTCAAATGTAGAAATATTGTAAAAATTAATTTATGTATCAGTGTTGTAAAATATTTATTTGTCGGATAGGTATTACATTTTACAAAAGAAAACTTGTTTAATTAGTTAAACTTCTTTACAATATAGAAGAGAATTGCATTTGTAAGATAACAAAATTTCATAATAATATTCTATTATAGTTCATTATTTCACATGTATGTGTAACAACTGAAACCTTAGTTTGTCTTGTATATTCGGTCAAATTTAGGAATTAAAGATCAAAACTTCAAGGTGTATGCAGTCGTATATTAAAAATGTTATATATCGTTTATAAAATGTATGAGACATTTCCAAAACATTCATGCAATTAATTAGTACATAATTATAACTTCTTAAGACTTCTTTAATTTAAGAAAATCGTTTTTAATTCCAATGAACGAATTGCAAATGAATAAGTATGACACGTTTCCATATTTTATATTGAAAACACTTATTCATTAAGAAGTTGATATGGTTTATAAAAAACATGGTATAATTTTCATAAAATTGAAAATATGAAAAATATTCAGTAATATTTCATTTCCTATGACCCGTTCTAAACATTCAATCTGATTTCAGTAGCAGAATCGCATTTTTTTCATTGAATTCTTCTGGTGTCAGAAAATACATTTATGAATGCTTAATAACATTTAAAATAGCTATTGTGAATATTCATTCATTTATATGTACAACACTGACAAACTGTATGAGACCAAGTTTCATAATTAATAAAGGTTGAAATTATTATTCGTCGAAGATTTAATAATACCGATACATTCCAATTCTACAAAAATATTTTACATATCTCCTGACTCTATTAGTTTTATAATATCGTTCTAAAATAATCTTTCCTTTTTAAATAATTTCGCATCTTTCACGTTTCGCATTTCATTTTAGTTTTACATTTTCTGTGGGTGGTGAATTTGCTGTAATGACATAAGGTACCAATTTTGGGAAAAGTATAAGAAAGAAAAGAATGTTTGTGTTGATTGCCGACGCAATGACATGAATAATAATTAATCAGGAGATTACACGGAAGTTAATTAGCAAATAATCGTTAGATCTCAGCAACATGTCTTGGCACAGCATTAAAGCATCGTCCGTTTTATACGTGCAGCCTTTAATCGTCTTCGAAAGCCGTCTACCGATACACCAATACAATTATGCATGGGGCAACAAAAGTAAAACGGTATAAAGGTGATTAAACGTGTACTCCTTTTCTTATTAAAAATACGTGTTATCATAGTATTAGAAAATGATAGTTGGAATCGTACCAAAAATTAAAAATTAACAACCGAGACATATAAATGTTTCCTTTATCAGACTTATCTGTTCTCTTGAATGTAATCGCGAAGTTGCTGTTCATTACAATTAGTACGTGTATTCTGGGGTAATTTAAATACATAAGATACTGAGAGAATAAAATTGGATTTTTATAAAAATTATATTTATCTTAAAGGCTTGGAATACGATAACAAAAGGTAATAATTAAAGTACTTTGATGAGTATGAACATTAACTTCTTTGCCTTTATTACTAGAATTATTTGGGAAAAAATATTTTATCTTGTGCGATGATCAATTAAACGATTATGAAATAATTTATTATATAAAAAACCGAAAGTTAATTTTAATGTATATATTTAAATAATTTTTTCATACAATTTTTAAATTTGAAATAGGCATGCGCATTTTTTAAATAAAAATATTGACACATAATCAAATTTTTTAACTATAATAAAGAAAAATCCTTTCTGTATATAATTAAATAGATGTTTTTAATGTGTTTTTACTTCGAAACAAAGTTTGAATTTAATTAAGGTCAGGAGTAAGATGGCTGCAACAGAAGTGAAACGTCGAACGTGGCCAGCTTCGTCCAGCTGTGACTGTTCGAATAAAAGTGAAAAGGAAATGAAATATACTTCTTATAAGTAAGGTTCGTCGTATTAAGCTAGCCTGACATAATGGTGACACATGTGTTTTCGACACCAATCGTTGAGAGCATAATAAACTGAACTCTATTATGTGTATCCTTCTAACATTCAACACAGGATAAAATCCTTATTAATAATGGAAAAATATTACAGTTAATATAAAAAGTATTCAAATGACCAAGTAAAAAAATTATTTATTGAACGATGCTATGCATTCATTAGAATTCAAAAATAGTTGCAGCTTCCTTCAAATAAACGAAGCAAATAAAATTTATCTCTTACATTTACAGTGTCGTCATTATTATTAGCAAACTTGGGAAACAAATTAATTACATTCCAAATATCCGTTTAAAACTATAAGAACAAGGAAAAATTAGTATTTAGAAATAATTAATTTTTTTATGAATTTAACGAAAAGTGATACAAAGCATATTACATGGTATATATCTTATAAATAAATAAATATCAATTTTAAATACATTTTACTTATCTTACATAGCAAAACAGTAATGGTAAGACATTTTGACAAATCTAATTCAGCAGATGTTTATTTATTATACAAATTAAAGTAAGAGTAATACAGATATAAATCAGAAAAAATTAACTACACTTAGTTCGAGTAACCGAAAGTATAAATTTTCAAAATTAATACAAGTTCGATTTATTTTCGAGAAATAGTAACTAAAATTGGAAATCGACTTTGTATGGCTTACCTGTTTTCACCTAAATTTCTATTTCATCGAACGAAATCAGTACGTGGTAATACCGTAACGTTTACATGCACAAGGAGAGTTTCTTGAGCGTTGTGTACAGATTATGTTATCGTCTTGGCAGGGATATCGTAACGTATTTTGTAACTTGCTGCTCGACGTGTTGAATATTAAGCTCATTCTACAACGTGAACAAAGAAACCAACCTATGTTCCTAATACTTAAATACTACCAATAACGTCCACAAAATTGTCTGTATTAACAATTTAAAATTAACAGACACTTATACATTTTTATAAATTAATATATTTAAACTAGAATTACACTACAGTTCTTAAATTACTATGTATATACCTATTTATTTAGTAAATATAAGAGAAGAATGATTTAATGTTAGAAAAATAACAATATAAAGTAATCAGTAGTTTATTAATGCTTTGCATAAGTCTTGAAAGAGTTTTATTTTGTATTTAATTAATTTATCTTTAATAAAAGGTAGAAGAATGCAATCAAATGACTGAAGAGTACATATTAATTGCCTTATTTAAGCCTTTTATCAATATGATCAATGTATTTCGAGAAAATAATTATTAGATCGTCAGAGATAATTATAATATACCTTTTTCTTAAGAGAATGTAACTCGATTCAAATTATAAGAAAGAAGATTAAAAAGACGGAAGTCGGAAAGTCCTTGGAAAAGTAAAAGTATGATTTTCAATATGACGGTATTATTACTGGAAACTAGACTTATGTCGTTAAGCTTAATTGAAAAAGAAAATTGAGCTCGTGCATTTTATTAATAAACACATACGTGCTCGGAATAATAACCTATAAAATTAATTCCCCTATAAGACAGGTAAACGTGTTAATACGTTACGGACGGATGACGAAATATCTCATGTTTCGTATATATTTTTAACGCGTAAAAATTTCAAAATATTCTTTGACGTTAATTATTTAACGTGACAATGATTTTTACTGAGGACAAAAATGAATAAATACAAATAAATACTAGGTATAGTTGGCAACGAAATGTTTAGTCTAGAATTTTTTAACACTTTATCCACTGAAAGCTTATTAATATAATTTTCAATATTTATTCCTCATTACAGAATAATTTAATACTGTACATTTCCTTTATACAGTAATAACTCTAATTCAATAATATTTCAAAATTCCATTCTTCCTCAAATAAAATTATGAAAAAATTCAATTCTTCTTTAAATAATAATAAGCAAAAATTCAAAGAAGAATCGTTAGCTCACGATTAAACTTAATTGCCATTACTATTGAAAGATCTATAAAAAAATCCTTGGTTATTAATTATTAGTTATACAATTTCATTAATTAACTACCACTTGCACAAATATTTAGAAATACAAATTATATTCCATTCGAACGTTCACTGAAGTTAAAATCCTACACATCTGTTCACAAAAATATCTCTATAGCCCGTCACATCAGTGTCTTTTAAAATTCACGTTCCTCAAGCATTTTCCAACGTCTGTTAAACATTCGATAATTGATAACGGTATTTGAAAATATCGGTTCACGAGATAGCAACGACGTCCGTAAGGTACCTAAGTACTTACGTACCTACTGATTCCTACCGCTGACTCGCGGAACAATACCCCCATAAACCCTTACCGTTAGAAGACGCTCGCGAACTCGACGCTGTCAAGTCGAACCTTCACCATATTTTTAATTAACCACTTCGGTTAGACCGACGACTATAGCCGATAGCCATCGAATGTATGTA